AAACCCGATCAAGAGTGGCTGATCGCGCAGAACCCGAAAGAGCGAGAGCGGACAAGCCTCCCTCATCTACGAGTGCTCGGGAAAAAAAGGGGTTGTGAGAAATTCCGGGGGAGAGCGTAGGGACTCAAGGGCCTATGGGAAAAAGCGAGAAACGGCAAGCCGGCTAGCTGGCAGAGAACTGTTCGTCCGTCCGTGGATCCGTCTGTCTCGTCACGGGTCGATCGACGAGTTTTTCTCTTCAGCGGCAGCGAGCACGGGTTTTGTTTCGACAGCCGGAGGGGCGGTGCTGCTGGCGGAGCTGAGGGACTTCCACACTTTTGTGTTCGTCGTTCGGATGACTCGGGGTTTCTTTCCGGGGAGCAGTCCGCTAGCCAGCCAGCCATCGGTCGGCTGGGGGAAAAACGAAGACGAAGAAAAAGACTGCAAAGAAAACGAGAGAGGAGGGAGGGGGGAAGGCAGAAGAGGAGGAGGAGGAGGGGCTTCCCAGGCAGGAATAGGGCAAGCACGGATGACACGGAGGGGGCGGCGAGCTGAAGAATCCGACAGCTCCGTCCTTTTGAGAGGAGAGCCGACAGCTCGCGCGAGCCCCAGCCCCACTGGCTCTCCTTCTTGCACTATCCCGCATTGGCCTCTCTCGATGGAACGGACGCACGGTCCCACTGGCTCGGTGTGCGGCGTGCGAGTATGTCTGCCTGGCCGGCTGCGTTGTGTGCTTCCGTCCGTCCTTCCTCTATCACTCTCCTCTCCCTTGCGTCCTTTAGGAGGAAAAGGACGAAAAGGAAAACGTCGACAACAACGAAGAGCCGAGAGAATAAAGGCGGATTCAACGAACGAGAGGGAGACAATTCGGGCGGAGAGTGAGCATGCTTGCTACTCGGTCGCCGCTCATTCAGTAATTCTCTTCCAAGCAACACAAAGCTCGAACTGACAGAGGAACGGAGCGCCCGAGACACTGCTGCTCAACACACCACGCACTCGCAGCAGCGAGCTAGCGGGAAGGAGAGACTTGGGGAGAATGAAGGTCTCCACTCAGTGAAAGAAGAGTAGAAGACGAAACTTTTAAAAAAGAGCCGAAGAGTGACTCAGGAAGGAAAACCGGGTGAACGGGCGGCGGACGAACGAACGCAAAAAAAAACGACACAGAGAGATAGAGAGGATCGCGGAAAAAGTGAACCACCACCGGCGCAAACCACCCTGCTTTAGAAAAAGAACGACAGACCGACGACACCCGGAGACTGACGAACGGTCGAACGCTGGTGCATCGCCGACAACGCTGCGTCTGACCCTCGTCGTCTGCCCGACAGTGTTGTGCGTAACTTCGTGGAGTGACGAGCCGCCGAGCTGAGCACCTCAGGTGAATCGGTCGGCTGGTCGGACCGAGTACACGAACTACTCAAAGGGTTTCCTCACCACATATCCATGACCAACGTCACGACGTCTTTACCAAGATGTCGAAAAATCCTTCTACTAGTCCCCTGGATTCCCAGGATGGGAGCTATACTTTCTCCTCCCTCCCCCTTCGCATTCGCTATGCAGGGAGTCCTACCGCTGAAGCACTCGGGCCGCCTAATTCTTTCAGTCTTGGTCTTTTCCTTGTCCGCCTGAGTTGCTTAATCGAAAAACAAATTAAAATTCGCTCGAGTGGCGTCGGTTTCGTTCGTTCGTTCATTCGCTCGCTCGCTCGTCGTTTGCTTCTTCCCTTGAAACTCCTCCACTGGTTCTCTCTGCCCGACGATGGCTTCGATCCGCTTTCTCTGTCGTTCTCCGTCGTTTTCTCTCTGTAATTTCCTCTCCTCCATTTTCTTCCGCCGACGGCAGCCCCCTCTCCCCTGGCAGCTCGCTCACTCTTGTTCTTTCTTCTCTATTTGTTCGGCAATCTCTTCGGAGGAGTTCTTTTTCCCAGATCCGTAGTTTTCCTCCGTCGTCGTCCGAGCGCTTTCGTCATTTCTTGCATGCCTCCATTCATTGACGATCAATGCGACAGTGGCTATGTCTCTCTCTCTCTCTGCAAAGATCTCTGTTCGAGCTCCTGATGGACGAATCCACTGCTCCAGATTCCGGTAGCGACCGAGCAGTTTCCCTCATCGAGAAGCTTAATTGGCGCTCTTCCATCCATTCTCAATTTTGGCTCCTGACGGGCTCGCGCTGTGTTTCTCCTCGAGTTCAATAAGCAATTCGCCGGAGAGATTGACAAACAGCCGCCAAACGTCGATTCGAAAAGCCCTGCCCTCAGAACTTACGCTCGGATTCTCCGGTTGAGCTTCTGTTCAGAGTCAGCTTTTTGAGGGTCTCCTTTTTTTCGTTCCTCTCTTGATTCGACAGCGTCGTCGGAGTCTGCTTGTATCTCATTTGAGAACGACCGCCTTTTCGTGATCCGATCCGTTCTTTGATTCCCCGGGCTAATCTGACTCCTGTCTGATTGCGACGGTCTCTGGCTTCCCGGCGCTTCTTGTCGTCGTTATTCTCTTGTGCTTGCATTCTTCTTTTTTCTACTCGTGTCTTCCCCCACCCCCTGATCTTGCTTCCTATCGCGGCTCGTTCCCTCCCCGCCGCTCTCGTCCTCCTCGCATTTTAACTCGAACTCGTAATCAGGTGGAAGTAACGGCCAATTACCCTGACTCCTCGATGCTCGAGAGTCGTGTGAAGACTTCTTCTCTCCACGATTATCTTAGAAGCTTCTCCCCCCGCTCATTGCCAGTAAAAGGAGAATGGTTTACTGTCCCATAGCTCGACCGACTGAGTTGATTATGCGATCGAATCACTGAGTCTATTTGTCGTCACCAGGAGCGTAGATATATCCTCTCCCTCTGGAAAGCGTTTCGTGACTGAGTGCGGACACTGCTAGAATCCCTGTCGGGCGATTTTCACAAAGCGGCATTCAAACTAAGAGATCATAGATGGAGTGATATATTGGTGGGGACGAGAGTGAATTATCGGAAGAGAAACAGAGTGTTCGGCAATCTCTATAAATGGTCCGCTCTCTCAGCCGGCGGCATGGTGGGCTTGTCGGTCAGCTAGACGCTCGACCGTCATTAGAGTACAACGGACAAACTTCTTCCGAAGCGACTCGGACCTTCCTCCGATGCTCGCTAGCCGGCCGACCAACCGACCATCCGACTGCTCGGCAAGCGGGCGAGGAAGCAATACTCACTTCCTTGTCGTTCTCTCCGGGTCTCTGGCTGGAGTTTGTGCCAGCGGACCGACTCGTTGGTTCGCTCTGCAAATCTATATTTAAATACTCTGCCCAGCTCAGATAGTCGGCGAGAGTTAAGAGAGAGGACTAACATAAGGGTACTGTGGGGAATATCCACATCGTACGGACGAACAGACGGACCGAGGGAGAGTCAAGCGATGGGACAGGCCGAATGAAGCCTTGACGTAAATTATGCCTGGATGTCACGTCCAATTTCGAGTGGATGCGTGCTCTCGCGCAACGCGTAAGTGGGTGACTGAGTGAGTGGGTTGAGTAGGGGGCAACTCCTCCTTGTTGTCTGTCTAAACACAAGAAGTTGAGCGAGACGCAGCGGCCAAGCCAAACCGAGCTCGAGCCGACGGAGAACGCCTGAAAACGATTCGGCCCAGTCCATTCGGTTTTCGAAGTAGAAACCACCCCAGACACGCATTCACCGAGCTGGCTGACCCGGCAGACCGTTTTGTCCCATGCTCTCGCACTCGGCTAATTGTCTTATGCGATCTGAAAACAAATCACAGATCATCAGAAGGGGAAGCAATGGACGTGACGGTAAACGTTTGGAGATCTCCGAAAGACGGGGCGAGCTTATCCGATTATTGCCGGTTCTGTTCCTTAATCGGCGGTGAATTATTATCATTATCGGCTCGCTCGTAAGGTTTGCATTGTCTGACTCCGATCCGCTCCCGTCGCAGATCTCCTCCGGGGAGGATTGAGGAGCGACCGACAGATCGAGAGAGACAGAGAGATCAAATGAAACATGTTACCCTAAAAAAGCTTCTGCCGCTTGGTCTGTGCGCGTGTGTCCGCGCGTTTCATCTGTTGAACGCCAAAGTATGCAAATGCCAAGACCTGCAGCGAACGGAATTCTTGACTTCTTTTTGTCTAATTGAATAATATTTACATCTCATTTTCGCTGGCAGCAGCTCCCGTGCCGGCGAGGTTTTCCGTGTGGCGGCCAGCCATCGACTGAAACCCCTTTAGCCATTTGTCTCAAATTGGCCCTTTCTGTTTTTGAAGTGTGTGTCTGGGGCTTTTTCTTCCTCTCGCTCGTCCGACCGCCTCCTGCCGGCCTGCCAGCTCGCCCGAACGCCCTCCCGCCCGTTCGAGGGAAGAAGGGGAAGCTTCTCCTCGCGGGAGGCGAATCATGAGCAACCGGGAGAGCTGAGAAGCGCAAAACCAAGGAGCAAAAATCGCTCGTTAAAAAATCAAAATTTGAATTTTTGAATCTCTGCACGTTTGCCACGGCCGGCCAAGTCAGCGGCATGTGCCCCGATTCTACTGCGATAGAGAGATCGGCGAGAGTAGCGAGAAAGAAGTCTACGAGTCGCCAAGGAGATCATAGGACAAAACACGGCATCGAGGAGACCATGGTCGTTCTCTTCGTTTGCGGCTGCAGCTTCTGCATTTCAAATTCGAATTCAAGCAAGAAACGAGGGAAGCGGGATAGGGGACGCGAAATCTCTGTTTCTGATGACAGTACTCGGCTGCTATGATGAGCGCTCCGACGAAACTTCGATTATTCCGTCTCGGTGCGGGAGTGTGCTCTGAAGTTTCACAGCATCGCGTAAGGAGGGCGCCGCTGTTTCCCCTATAGAAACAGTTATGAGTCGCAAATCCCTGGTTCCATGGTTCCCGGGAAGCGCTTTCCTTCCGATTCGCTCCCAACATGAGCACTCGGCTTCTGAGCGAAATGGATGGGACGTGATCATTAATTCGATGCTGTATAGGGCTACACCTAGGTATATTTATGCGTTCGGAGCGCGAACTCTTAGGCTCTGAACTGAATATTCTCTTTTTGTTTTTGCAGAACCATTGACGGGAGAGAACGGGATGCCGCGACGTCTCCGCACCGCCTACACCAACACGCAACTACTTGAGCTAGAGAAAGAATTTCACTTTAACAAGTATCTGTGCCGGCCTCGGCGGATTGAGATCGCCGCTGCTCTCGACCTAACCGAGCGACAAGTAAAAGTCTGGTTCCAAAATCGTCGGATGCGCCATAAACGGCAGACGATGGTTTCTAAAAGTGAAGGCAACACCGACAAGGAGTCAAACACATCCGAAAACGATGACGACAACAGCGCGGGAGGGGTGTTGAAATCAAAAAGTGGTCTATGTTCCATGGGCGGGGACTGCAGTCCGCAGCAGAAAGACTGCTGTACGCCATCGATTCAAGTGATGCAGGTTCAGCAGCAGCAACAACAGCAGCAGCAAGTGATTCCACAGCCGAACTCTGTTCCGCCTCAACTTTCGAGGAACACGTGCTCTCCGAGTGGTAGTGAGCACGGTTCGATGTCGTCCGATGATCCCAAAGCCCATCTTCACTCAGCGTTGACAGCAACTTCCGCAACTCCTTCGCCCGGTTCCGCTCGAGGTGAGCACGAGTTCGATTCTGCTAATTCCGTATGCGAAGCGGAATCTCCCCGTTTCGGTCCTCAACAGACTTCCGGTTAATGAGGTATCTTTTCGTTTTCATCCTCGTCTCTCGACAATCCACAGCTAATATACCTAATCTGTTTCACAGGCGACAAAACACCCACACCGACCGGTTCTCTGGAGAGATCCATCAAACCTGATCCTGCTTTGAATTACTCCGCGGGTCCCCAAACGCCCTCAGTGGCAGGAGGTCAACGATCAACGTATCCCGCGATGGGATCGCCGATGCAGGCGTCCTCACCATTGTACCAAAAACAGGCACATTACTATCGGCCGTCAGGAGGGGCGGCGTGTTATCCTAGTGTAACCTACAAATCGAACCACATGTACTACCATCACGCCGCACCTCAGTCGAACTCTCCGAACTGTGGTTCCCAATATCCCGGAGCAGGTGGCCAGGCGAGTCCGAACATGACCGGTGCGAGGATGCCCCAGTATTTCGATGCGTACGGGGAACAGCGCTTCGACTACGGCACCGCTTATCACAACCAAGCGGGTCAGGGATATCCGCAGGGCTACACCGGATACCCCCAGGACGACATGCCGGCCACCGATCAGTACTACGACCGAGTCCAACAGCAACAACAACAGCATCAGCAGGAGTACACATCCGCGAAACAACAGCAATATCAGTGCTTCGAGGCACAATACGCAGCTGGGGATAACGCCTCGTTCAACGGTTTCACCGAAAGCCAGCAAACAGCGGTCAGCCAGCATCAGAACGGCGACATGAATTTCAATCTGTATTACAACAACGGTAGCTTAGGCTCGATGAGCACGTGCAGTACTCCAGGGACCCCGCAAAGTCAATGCTTTTCCGCTCAAGAGGGCGTTGCCGAGTGGAGTGCACTTTCTCAGAACCATTTTCCAAACACGGAGTACTACCAGCTCGGTTGAAGTAGGTAATGAACAGGCCGCAAGCTAACTGGTCGTTCTGAAACGAAATGCTCGGAAATCGATGCCGGTCGACTTTCAACTTCGGGAGACCAGGAGCGACGGAGGTCGTGAATAATATAATTAGATGCCAAGATATTTTATTTGTGGAAATTAAGCAAGAGGAGAAAGATCCCCGCGGAAAGCCTCATCCAGATCTTCCGCATAGCTGCCGCGACCAAACCGGGATCGATGCTGACGATAAGATTCGGGCTTCTGCGATTTTGATCCCAGGAGAAATTCGCACTTCTACAAACGCCATGGACCGAGTCGATTTTCTTAACCTCATCAACTGCTTCTCATCAATCAGCAAGAGCGCTCAGAGCTTGATAACGGAGCCACATCGTCGATTGATTATATCGACAGGAGGATATAGTCTATCCACCAAGCACACTGAAACAAATTCTACCGAACTCCATCGACGTCCGCAGGGGCTGCATTCCCAGATGAAAGCTCCTCAGCCGCGTAGCTCGCCGCTGCGAATAAGGTGGATCAAACGCGGATTACGAGACAGACTCTTAAAACTGATGACGGAGCGGAAGCTTACGTGATACAGCGTCCCGCTCGTGTTGATGCTGGGACGAATCAACAGTTGTTAAAACTTTTGTGAATATTCCTCCGTATCGTGTCAGATAGGATGGAGCAATTAAGTGTATAAGGTTGCTTTCTCGAGGCTACCCCGAGAAATCCCCAAAGCCTGTGTTCGACGGCTCTCGCTGTACAAAGACCCCACACTCTACATATTATCCCGACATTCTAGATGATGATTCTCATTATCATAATTATTATTCTTCACAAAGGAGTTACCGTCATTGACAGCGTCACGCTTAAGAATAACAATTCAAAAAATCAGGGGTCATCGGGAAGTTGTATTCTTCCGAACGAGACCCTAACTTCCCGTATGCGTCTACTTCAGTGCCCCATGTAGATTGAATCGTTTCCTCCCCTGCAATTTTCTTACGGGGGAACCGAATCGCGCGGCCGCGGGTTACGGTTCCACAGCCATCGTCATTCGCATTCGGATAATCTGACGGAGCAGGTAGACGGCTGACTGAAAAATGGTGCAATGTATCCAAGTCGTGACTGAATCAAACTATCCGGAGGATCAACTGACCATGGACTTGAAATCAGAGTTGATCATCGATGGAAAATCTTTGATAGTAATTGGCGAACGAAGTGGGCGGTTGATCTCTCTCGAACCTTTCGTCGGATGTGGGCAAACATTCCGTACACTGCTGTAATTTAACATGATCGACGATTCATTACAAACTGAGAATCATAGCTCTTCGAACCTTGATAGCGAAAAGGATTTTGTGCTTCGAATGCCGCACTCTATATCCGGAACGGAAAAAAATCGCGACCAATGTACTGGGTCGCTATCGTTGAAAATCGATGCGAAAGAATGGCCGAAACCTTTAGAAATATACTATCGTGTACCACCACTGTATATACGTATCTTCTAGAGAAATAAGACTCCGAGACGAGAGCGGCAGAAACAACAAGATGACGATGATAAGAAAAAAGAAACTGAGTCCGTCACTATCAGCTGGAGAAACGACAAACTCAAAAATGTATTGTCTCGCTCCCTGTAAGACGATCATCAAGAGAACTTCCGAGGAAATTTCTACCGCTTCCTCAGGCGGAGCTACGGAGTAAAAAATAGTCTGAGTTCCAACCAGACACCGAGCATGACTTGAAAAGTCTCGACTAAGGGACGAGACGATTCGGAGAAATAAAACGCCAAGTGATATTAAGAACCGAGGGTCTTTTCCCTTTCCTCAGCTATCACGGATTTTTCCGACGATCATCCGTTCTTCGATGACACGGTATCATCCCCAAAAATCAGCGAAGAGAATCTCAGTCCGGGAGGATCTCTGATTTCGGCGACCGCAAGCATTTCGCTCGAGACCCGGGACCCCACGCCACGGATGCCTGTAGTCCGCAAGCATTGTTCTGAAAGGACATCTAGATGAAAATCCCTGACAAGGTTTCCCGCAAATCCGAGCTGCGGGTCAATGAAATCATGGATCTCGATACTAGCTCGGGAAGTCAGCGAGTTTCTGGCGGAAGAAGTGCGTGAGTTCGTATTTCCACGCGCATGAGGCCTGTTCGCTGGACTGCCGTGCGGCCATTCGTCCAAGTTTCGCGCCGTGTGTCCATCAAGCGAGGGGGGGGGCGAAGAGAAATGGGGCTCGGCGCGACGAGGGCTCGCAGGCTGCTGGTCTGACCGAGCAGCGACGGCCTGCGCTACGGGAGGGACAAGGCAAATGGGCGACTGAGGAGTCCGGCCGGGCACACAGGCGGGCGGACAGGGCACGAAAGCAGTCTATGCAAGCGGCGCAAGACATGAGGTCAGCAAAAGGTTTTTGGACTTTGGCACTTTCGACTCCCGCTGCTGCTGCCGCCGTCGCAGGCTCTCTCCTAGTCGTCGCACCATTGCCCAGATGGAGTGTCTGAGCTGCTGCTGCCGCTGCTGTCGTCGTCGAAGAAATAAGAGCAGCCCTGGGTGAGACAATTCAACGGACGAACAAACGACAGTGAAGTCTCGGAGCAAAGAGCTTGCAATCGGCCGTCCGTGCGTCTGTCCGTTGGAGCGACCGATCGGCCGCTTGCTTGTCAGCAGCTGCAGCAGTTAACAAGACAACGACGCACTTCTTCTTAAGGTGTGGGACCCTCTCAGATGGACGCTCGGACGTACGGACCGGAAGGGCGAAGTGAACGGGCGAACAGACAAACAGGGAGGGAGACGAGCAGACAAACGAACATCTCGTCGACGATTTTTACAGATGGTCGCGAATTTAAGAAGCAAAGCTGTTCTTCTGGCCGTTCTTTTTGAAATGTTCTCCGCTTCCATCTCGTTCATTGTCCCCGTATCTACTTTGGCTCTCCGTTTCCTCCGCTCCATATCCAGTCAGTCACCGACTTTTTGAGGATTGTTCTTCTTCACGGCCAGTATAAAAAGTGTCATCTACTGCAAATGTGGGGCTGTTGCGGAGCGAAATACCTTGTCGCCAGGTCCTCAAGAGAGCCCTATGAGAGCATAATTTAGGCCGAGACGAAGTTGAAGCGAAACGCTCAAAACAAAATCGGACCCCCGGTTCATCGTTCCGGGCTGCGTCTCCTCCGACTATCTTTCTCAGTTTTGCCGCATTCTAGCCGCGACACTTTCTCGAACATTTCTCCCGGGAGCGAGACACGCTCCCGACTCAATTTATGATCGGCAGAGCAAATTTGCGGATACGTGCGTCCTCCATGATAGACCGATGTGATACAGACCAGCTCAATGGACACTGCGAATCCCGCCGCTCATTGCATCAGAACGTCAGATATTCTCCGCCGCCGTGCTTTCACTTAAGTCAGCTAATTCGTGCCCTCAAACGGGGGTCCCGAGACCAGATGGTGGTTTCCACGAGGCCTCGCTCGCTAAGTCGTCCGTTCGCGTTCCCGCTCCATCGGTGATGGCACGACAACGCGAAGAAAAGCAACGGAAGCCCGACGGCATCCTCATTCCGAATCACGGTTTAGGCGCAACATCCTTCATTTGCCTCCTTCGAGTCGGCTCCCCTCAACAGAGGTCGCTGCATCGGCCTTCGTCTCGGAGCACCATCGCTCAAGAACCGCATTCACTCCGCGCACCGTAGACCTAGCATTCCTTGGGATTAATCAATCTTATTCCTTCCCGCTCCGCTATGTCGTCCTCCATAGACTCACTTCGGGGTGTTGTGTCTCCGTCCTTGGCCTTCGGACAATAAGATCGGAGCTGAGTTCTCAGGACCGAGCACGGTCGATCGAATCTGAAGACAATACTCCTGGAATTCGCCGGAAAACCGTGCCAAGGAGCTGAAGAATGTTCCGTGAGTCGAGAACGATGTCGGGAGACAAGGCGGTTGGTGCACACAATTCGCGAATGAGTGAGAGACAACCCTTGTTCAGCTCCGTGTGACGATGTAACTTCGGTGAATGGCTCATGGAATCGGAGCTGCGGGAGGAACTGGGTGATTGTCGATGAAAAATCGCGAGCACCGTACATCCGGATTTTTTGATCTGCACACACGCGACGGGAAAGGAACCGCAAATCGAGAAAGACGATAGTTGGAACTTGCAGAACGAACACCAGAAACAAAGGCCGCCCCTCCTTCCTGTCGGTCGGTCGGTCGCTCTGTACGTCCGGCCAGGATCTCGTTCGTCTGTGCCGAGAGACTCGCTCTGGGGCTCTGCCGATGCTGCTTGCGCCGCGCGCCGCCCATGTTTGAATCTGGCTGCTCGCTCTCTCACTCGCATGCGCGTGCGAGGCTCTGCATGCGTGTGGATGTGAGGAAAGGATTTTGTCGACGAGCGGTTCTACATCCCCGCTTCGGAAGCGGATGTGCTCCCTTGCTTTTTTCGCTTATCGGGAGCTTTTCGGCCCTCAGAGCCGTGCTCACAACCGACTGGCTGGCTGGCCTCTCTTCCTTCGCGCCGTTCCTAGTCGTGGTGTCTGTCCCCCATCGCCGTCGTGCTCGTCGTCGTCCTCCTACTACTACTACTCCTTCTCTTCTTCCTCCTCCTGCTCCTGGTTCCTAACCGTTCCCCGAGGCGACACAGCGGCAGCCCTCGACCACCACATCAGTGGCTCATCTCATCCGTGCCACCTCCCGAATAATGTATTCAGTCCTGGCTGTCGCCTAGCCTTCCCAGCTGCTTGGTCCACCAACTGACGGATCGGCTGACCGAGCAACTGACTGACTGACCGACCGACCGCGCAGCTGCCCCTCCGCTTGTCTTTTTGTCGTAGGTGGCGGAAGCATCGGCGATGTCCTAATCGAATCGACGCAATATTGCAAACGCACAGACGACACTCGAGGCGACTCGCGGTTTTCGGCCACCGCTGTCACGGTGCGGATAACCTTCGAGGGTCAGGATCCAGGGTCGCCACAACCGCAGGCGAATCGATCGATGAAAACGAAACTCGCATCTCTCGTTGC